ATAATAATATTCTAAGATAATTAATAAATAATAAATAATAAAATAATAAACTAATAATAAATTCGTTCTATAACAGTATTCTTAAGTATTACATTCTTAGTTTTAATTCTTTAATTCTTATAGGTGATGATATTGAATTCGCTAAAATTAACGATAATAATACGGTTATAACTTTTATCGATGATAACCAAGATAGTGAATCTATCGATGATCAAGGTAGTGAATCTATTGTTGATGATGATCAAAGTAGTGAATCTATTGATGATGATCAAGGTACTGAATTAATTGCATGTATTTCGAATTAATTACCTGTACTTCGGATTAATTACTTGATCACTTTAACAAATATTTTTTGAGATGAAATTTATTCAACGTAATATGTTTTATTTGCAATGAAACTCTGTTTATTTTTACATTTATTCTTTGACTTAATTTTTTTGTAAATGTAAAGAATTGTTGTTACCATTTAAAATAAATTGACAATTATTATAATTCAACAAATTGTTTTTAACGTGATTTAATATTTTAAAAATAATTATGATTAAATGATTAAATATTTAATTAAATCTTTAAACTTCACAAATACTAATTTAATTTTAATGTTAATTTAGACTCAATAAATAAATGTCCTTTATGTGGCCAGAATTTTTTGCTATCACTTCCTTGCATATTTACAACAATTACAAACATTAAATATTGTAGATCAATTTGAAATTTGTTGGTTTCATACTGCAGAAGCTACTATCGTTCCGGATGGACTTAGCAAAAATTATTCTAAAGTTATTGACTTCGATCAACTACCTGAACATGTCAAGAACTTATATCCAGAATTGTGGAAGATCGTTACTAAAAAAACAGAAAGTACATTCAGAAACACTGCAATAGAAAATCGAGCTGCCAGAACACCACTCATGGAAAAATTTGAAAAATTTCAAGTATGTGATTTTTTTTTGACATTAAATTCATCAAAATCCTGTTTAATTTTAATTTGATTATTTAGCCAGATTATTACGGTTTTAAAGAAATGTACATTATTCTTAGAACTCTTAGAACTCTTTTTGTTGAATCCAAAAAATTATTTTCAAATATGATATTTCCTCTAAGTCCTATGGAGTATCTTGCGGAAGTGCTTGTTCCTGAAACTGCCATTAGATTAATTGCTCAGGATCGAAATATTTCATTATTGGAATCAGCAGAAATAATGAAAGATAGTACAAACTTTGGAATGTATATTCATGATGTAGAGGAGAACAATATTTATGAAATAATTGATAACAGTTTACTCTAATATATGGCAATAAAATAATAGAATACATTTATTATAAAATGCACCTATGGTGGTTTTGCACCTATGATATGTTTTTATTATGTTTTTCAAAATTTTCTGTTTTTATAAGTTTTGTATATAAAATTTTTGACGCCAATTTTTTTATGGGAAAGTTAATACTTAAGGTTAGCATTAGGTTTGAGAAGAGTTTTTGGGAGCATAGAACATTTTTACTTAGAATATATCGCACTGATTAATTAGCCAGCTTTTGAAATAGTCTATGCATAGGTGTAAAATATCATAGGTGCGTTTTAGTAAAAGTTATAGAATAAATAAAATTCATTTTAACAGCTGATTCAATTTTGATAATTCTAACCTAAATTTTCATTGTAGTTACAATACTAAAAATTATTTAAAGAGAATTTCAATTAACAGATGAATAAATTTTTTTTGGCTGAATTGAAATTCATCAATTCAACTAATTGAAAGTGAAATATAATGTAAGCTTACGATTCCAAATTTATACTTATTCTCAAACAAAGTATTTTCAAAATTTTCTTGATTAGCAATCATGTCAACAACAAAAAAGTTGTAACAAAAGCAACTGAAAAGGATGTATAATTTCCGGTATAAAAAAATTAAATTTTGATTCATAAATTATAGTTTTGGTTGTTAGATTATATTTTTTATTATGAAAACTTTCTTGAATATAACTTATATTAAAATAAAAAATATTAATAGTAACAATGTGCTTGAACTTTAGTATTATAAATTTATTGTTTCCAGTGGTTTAAATAGCACTATCATGCATAAGAATATAGTGCTTATATCGGAAATAACAGATAAAAAATACATTAATGTTGTGTAGTAACTGTTTTCTCTTCAATTCTTTTATTATTTATTTTGTATTGTCAGGTTTTTCACCTTCGAACATTAAAGTAATCATCAATTGAAGGTGATTGAGTGCAAATCGATAACGTCTTAGAAGCCAACTTCTGAAAAATAGATAACTTACAATTTGTATTATTAAATCATTACTTTTTATATTTGGTTTCTAATGCTAATACATAATGGCTATTTTTATATAAACATCGGTTGGTGAGCAAGAGGAATACTGATTTTATCAGCTGATGCTTCTTTCTTGATCAAGCCTGATAATATTTAGCAAATATTGCTTCCTGCATTCGGTTCTAATATTTTAAACTTCTTTTCTTGATCCCAGGAAAAATCAATTCTAATTAAATTTATTCCAGCTTAACCATTTTTCCAAAACGATTTAACAACACCATATCATGATTAAAATACTGGAACGAATTCAATACAATCCATGTAATTACAATTAAAACACAATACACGTTTACTATTGTTCTATACATTAAATCACTAGAATAGAACCGATTTTTAACTACTTTTTGACAGAGGAGTGAACTCGTTCTTAACTTGTTCAGGACCGGACTTTTTAAGGACCGGAACCGGAACAGACCAGACGCACCACTTAACATCCCTACTTATGATTGATTTTAAGTCTATCGCTATTAAATAATAATCATCTGTCTTTTTTTGCTCAATTCTTGATTTATTTTCGACTAAGGATGCAAAATCACATTTTTTTTAATATGAAGACTTCAGTTGAATTTGAGATAAATGTAGTTTGTATAAAAATATTTGTTGCACTGATGCTAAAACACCCAAATTATAAAAATATATAGTATAATTTTTTTTTAGGGTTAGTGTTTAGGACCCTGTTGGGTTTAGAAAAAAGTGGGTACAGTATAATAAAGTGGGTATAATTTTTAAATTAATATTTTTCATATAGCTTAGATAACTCTTTCAGCATCGATCGCGACAATTTTTATTAATATATGTAGCATTAGTTATTGTACTATATTTTATAAGTATTTTCATAAATGTATAGTGCAAAAACCACAAAACTCTATGCCAGTTCCTAAAAAAATCTTTTGAATAACATTGAAGCCAGACATTAAACTTCACATTCGATGAATCTTTGATGCAAAGTTTAATGTATAGATCATATGAGCAATATTAGTGAAAAATATGATTGGCTAATTAGAATCATCCAGGGTGACCACCAAAAACGCTATGACGTGGTCATGGCGCAGCCAGATCAAAATTACGTGAAATTCTACTTATTAATGTAAAACCATAGTCACTCCATTAAGTGAAAAAATATTCCCGGACCAATTTTACTGTAAATTCATATGATAGTAAATTCAATAGATATCGTTGAACAATCAATTTAAAAAAATTATTGTCGCAGCTGATGCTGAAAACAGCTAATGCTAAAATTTTGATTATTTTTATAATTTTTTAGGGTGCATTTTTTTAGTCTTCATATAATAGTTTGAGTAGAGTTTAGGGTCAGGGTTTATTAATTAAAGTGTATGGATGGGTTTTAGTAGGTATTATAGTTCTAAATAGATACCCCAAAATTTCGGCATCAGTCACTTTCAGCAACAATTATTAACAGCTGCTGCTTTTCATTAAATTCATTAAAGTTAGATAAGACCAATTTGATTCAGTGGTTTATATTATTTATCCATTTTTTAAAAATATATAAAATTCTTTAAAATACTATGATAAACAATTAAAATTGAAGTTTTGAAATTTAATACTTTAATTATATCTTTGATCTTTTAATTTAGGGATGTTATCTTGCTTGCCCAAACTCAGTTTGAAGCCGAACCCAATAGAACTCGAATTTTTGCGGTCATATGATTTTCATTAACATATTTAAACTCCTCATGCACCAAATGAGTTCGAAACGATTAGATGAGCAATCTTGATTGGTAATAAACTTTAGACTTTTAATTACTAGCACGTCCATAATCTGTGACAGGTTAAGTCACTAATTCCAATCACTGTCTGATTATATTCTCAGCGTAAGACTTGACTATTATAAACTATTATCAAAAAATTCCTGAAGTTAGAATTTAAAACTTATAAATTCAAAAGTTGCCTTTTGGTATTAACTAAACAATATTTATATAAAAACAATAAAAAACTTTTGATTTAAAAATAAAATATGAATACCACATAAATATTCCTATAATTACTTTAAACAATATGTCGTTTCTTTAACTGTGCTAATTATTCAACATATTCTTGCTTAAATGATATTTTTTTACTCAAATTATACCTTTTTTAAATGTAGCTGAATTCTCCTTCCATATTATTTATTCATGAACTCATGTTTTCGCAGCACTTTTGATTGAATAGTCGTGTCTAAAATCATAAAGAAAAGTATTCGGAAGATTTATTTTTGTTACATTATGCTGATCTTGAATTTATTTAGCATGATTCGTAATATTGACCTAAATTTTGACTGTTTGAATTAATAATTAAAAACGAAATGCTATCGGAAATATTGTTTCTTCCATTTCTTAATTCTGATTTATAAGTTTTTTTTAAAAAAAAAAATATATCCAAATTTGTATATTAAAAAAATTTTTTATAAACTTTATTAAAAATTTGTTCTCTTTTAAGTCTTATTAGAAGTCGAAGGGTTATTCAAACTTTTAATTGCACACTTACTTATGTTAGGTAAAAAATATATATATATAATTTATAAAATCAAAAAAAATAAATATTCAAATACGATTAAATTGTTTTTTAATAAGCCTTTTCAAAATATACAATAGCTTTTTCATCATGATTTAAGGCGGTGATTGAAATCAGTGGCTTAACCTGTCACAGATTACGGATGTGCTAATTACTATTGTTATGACGAACAAAAATCAATTTTCTTTACTTTTTTTTTTTAATTAAAATTAATTTAATATGGCGTGATATGACAGCAATTAGTCTTTTATTTTATTTTATTTTTTTTTGATATTACTATTATTTTCAGTGTTGATATACCATTTTTTAAACATTAGAATCAATTTTTACACACGTTCTTTTGATTTGAGAATCAATTTTAGGATTAATAATTGTGGTAGCTTATGCTGAGAACTTAAATTATTTTATTATGAAATTATAAAATTTAGAAGGCTTTTTAGGGGTGTTTTTTTTTTATAGTTTGGTTAGGGTTTAGAGTTGTTATTAATAAAAGAGTATAGATGGATTTTAGTAGATATTATAAACTTAAACAGAGACCCCCAAATCTCAGCATAAGCCAATTTTAGCATAAGTCACCATAATAATTACCTACTGAAGAACACTTATGAAAACATTTAAGTCATTTAAGAATGATTTAGTTTTGAAAGATTTGTTATTTTTGTTTTATTTTTATTTTTTTAGTGCAAAGTTTTATAAAATTTTCTTTGTGCGAAGGTTATTTATTACGTAATAGAAAAGAACTTTCAGATTAAAGTTGGAATATGTTAATGATAAATGTAGTTCGGACTATTGGATTCTCTTTAATCGCAATATTGAACCTAGCTGCTACACAAAAAATGCGCAGAATCTTGGCCTGTGTTAAAGTAATTAGGTTCTTAATTTTGGCCATAAATTAATTATTTTTTTTATTAATAGAATTTTGCGTAATTTTGACGGACAGGTGTTTGTGATATGTAAAAATAGCTTATACCAGATGCTTTCTAATTATGGAAGTAAAATTTCCTCTCATGGGAGTTTATGATAAACTCTTACCGCTTTTTAATTTACATAGCAAGAATATTACAGCTATTAGAAAATATTCTAAAGATGAATAGTAATTGTAATTTTACAAAATTATTAAGTTGTCAAATTATTTATATTTAAAGTTTAATAGAAAATTATTTTTACTATAAACCATTTAAAACTAGAAAAATTAACATTAAAAATATTGAAATCAATATGTATGATATAAAAGCCTCAATTGATGTGTGTGCACAACTCGTGATCTTCGAAAAATTAAATAAACTTCCCACCCCCATGTTATAGATCTACATTGAGTTTTCTTACTCTGAGATTTTTAATTACTAAATTGTAAATGAAAGTGCGTGTTTATTTTCTTTTCAAATAATTCCTTATCATTTTTTTATGAGATATAAGGCTTATTTCGGGAATGAATATAAGATATATTAGTGCAAAATTCAAAAAAAAATTGAACATTTTAAAATTTTCTTACTAGCAATGAAGCATTCTAATAACTCCATTACTTCTTTTTCTAAAGGTGACGGATTCGAAATTAAAGTTTTTAGATTGGTTAAAAATAAAATAAAGATTGACTGCCAAAGGGTGAGATGAGATAATTATATTACTAAGTGATTGTTTAGTCGTTATGCATCTAAAGTTACGCTGCCACTAGGATAGGCAGAGAACTAGAAGCGCACCATGGCCACAGAGGATGTTACAAGAGCCAAGTAATAATTACTTGTGAATGTCCTTCTCTGTTTTATCTGTTATCCGAAAAGCTGCACTTGAGTCTGTGGTGAATAGGATGCATAGATATATGACTGTATTGGCTCCAGAGCATTTTCCTTGATGATAATGATGACAAATTACTTATAGTTTTTTTTTTTTTTATAGGTTATCAAGAGGTGACAGTGGCATAGATATGCTCGGCAATCATAATCATTACTTATTATTGTTTCAATGCAAAGATCTTACTAACAAAGTCAAAGTTGATTATATCTGAGATTTTGAAAGTGTTATATCAAGGTTCGATAAGCAAACAACAATCGGAATTTAGATTACATCAGCAAAGGATAGTTATTCGAGCGGTGCTATGGGAAAAGCAAAATCATCAGAATACCATTTATTATTAACCAACATACATGATCTGTGTCAGGACATTCCCGAATACTTGTCTAAAGTATTAAAAGATAATTCTGTCAGGGAAAAAATTTATAGAGTAGAAGAAAAGATAGATAAGATAATTGAGATACTTGAACGTCAGGAGAAGTTTATATATAAAATTAAAAATGATTGAATTAAAATTGAAAATAAGCAAATTAAGGTGGAAAAAAATCAAATTAGAATAGAGTGTAAACAAGAAAAAATTATTTTTTATAACTATATGTTATTATTAATTATTGTGGTTTCTGTATTAGTTAAATATGATTTCTTTTATAGTGATAGTAAATCATAGAAAATAATAACACTCATTTTACAAGTGTAATTTTAATATAAGTCTAACTAATGATGTTTTTTTTTTTTTATTACTCCATTTGGCTATTAATATTTTGAAAGCGAGCTTAAGACTCGTCAGATATTATTTATTAGAATCGAGAGTAACTTTGAACTTTTGTCGCATTACAAAAGATTCGAAGTTATTCTTTTGGTTTTAATAGATATAATGCATCAAAACGTAACTTTTGCACAGCATATAAAATTGCATGTAACATGATTTAAAGGTAAAATATAATTTATTTTTTAATTTTAAAATATAAACAGTCAGATCCTTCCTTTTCTTATATTCGAAACAGTAACATTATGTACGAAATAATACAGTATCGATCGAGATGTCACATTTAATTTTTTATTATAAATACACAAATCGACAAAATCACATTTTTAAAATTTTCACTGAAAGTCTTAGTCATAACACACAACGTTCCTTAAAACAAACAAGTTGACAGGGCTTTAACGAATCAAATAATATAAAGACATAAAAAACTAACGTTACCTGGTTATGCGTGACTCCTTCAAAGATGGGCAATTATTTTGCCTTCTTTTGCATGATTCTTTTAGAGTTTTCAAATCCTGACGTGAAAAATAGCTTGTTAGATGCGCACGAGCGAGAACTTTCTGCAAAATGCATCTTGATAAGAAGGTTATTTTATAAAAATGTGGAGAAAAGTAAGAAAATTGGTTTTCTCTTGTTGGAGGTACGTATTATGCGTATTATATCCAATTAAACTCTAATTCTGCAAAAATTTATAATCGAATTTTGCCCAAATTAATTTTCCCAAATTTATACTCAAATTCGAGTTCGCTCCCAAAAGTCCGGATCAGGTGATCTGCGCCACAGCCATATATTAATAAGAGTATTACGTACGTATGTATGTACATTGCTTTGTTGTATTTAAGAAATTTTCACAACAATAAAGCTGCATACAAGAGGTAAATGATTCGATAATTTTCTAATTGAATATCGGAAATATTTGTGATTTGTGGAAACTATTATTCAGATTAAGGTTATATTTTTCCTTTGGGATTTGATATTAAATACTTTGCTAAAATTGTTCATTTTTTGCAATAGCGATAAAATATTCTTAATCTAGTGTATATTAATAATATAGGTCTCCAAGAGGAAGTTTTTATAACTAATCACAAATTTAGTTTCTTACTAGCACCATTAACAAGGTTTTTTGATGGAGTATAGAAAATTACTAATTATTCATACTTGTCAAAAAACTTTGTTAAAGCCTTGTTAAAGTGCTAGTAAAAAACTAAATCTGCCTAAGTTTGTGGTTTGCTATGAAAATTTCCTCTTAGCGACTTATATTATTAATAATATGCATTAGATCGAGAATATTTTGTCGCTATTGCAAAAATGATTTTAGCAAAGTAACTCTTTCAAAATGTGCTTTATAGCAACAATCTGAATATTACAAGTCTGGTTAGATAACGAGGCTCAATTACTTTTCCACTTTATCACGGGAATTCTTTGGTTCACGATGACAGGAGCTGTAGTCTTTAATAAGTTCATTTTTTCGTCAGTCAGAATTGTTGGTAAAATTTCATAGCAATTAAGTTATTCAACATTGAATACTAGTTTTAAGCCATTATTTAGTTAATTTTGTTTATTTATTATTTCATTATTTATTGTAACAATTCTATTCCAAAAATTTTTTAATTAAAGAACAATTTTATTTATAATAATAAAATTACAATTTCTATTTTCTTGTTTCTAATGAATGGCATAGTTCTTTTTTTTAGTAGCTTTTTAGGTAATATTACTTAAGAATTTTAAAAACTTTAAGCGATAATTTGTAGTATATACTGTATCATCAAAAAAGGTATTTTCTCCAGATAACTCCAATTTCAAAACTTGGACATTTTGTACCCCACATATTTTCAACGTAGTTAATTATGAATCACTCTATTGGTATTATCTTACTTTTGAAGGCAAATGTGTGAACCTGATGAGTTAATACTATTCTGTCTCCAACCTGTTTTGGAATTAAAATCTATTAATAAAATACTTGCGTCATCATTATCAACTAACAAAGAACATGGCCAGAATAGTTAATAGTTACATGGTCAATGCTAAAGTATATTCTATTCACCAACTTCCTAGATGCACGCTTTCTAGTATTTTAATACAGAAAGATCCTCTCTAACGCAGATAGGGCCAGTACTACAAGAACATCGATAACTGATAGAGGAGAACGTTCAACCAAATGGTTGGCCCGATGCGCTTTCAATTCTCTATCAGATTTCATTGCACCGATGTGGCAGCGTAACTTTGGATACACTAATGAGAAAACTCACCCTGTAACGTTCTTGAATATCATAAATAGGATTAAATTCGAAAACATTCTTGAATTTTGATTTACTTGTTTAAAGAGGCTCACCTTTAAATACAATATTAAACTAATTAACACTCATTAATTTGTTTAGAAGTATATTATATTTTTTATATATTATTGATTGGGCTAGGCTAGATTACTGTATATAATTCATATAATTTTTTTGTTTTCATTATTAATTCCATCACATATCTTTTAAATATAAGAACCGGTTTTATATTATTCTGAAAAAATTATATTATATAACTACGTATACTATTGTTACAGTATTAAGTCACAATAACAAAAATAAATTAACTTCAATTGTTCTTATGTTTCACAAAGACAATGGCACCTCTGCGCGATAATGCACATTTGCGAAAAATTAGATTTAAGAAAAATATTAAATTTTTTTTTTTTTGAATAAAGTAAAGAGAACAAAGCACGTTTAAATAAGCCTCAAAATGCTGCACGATAATGCATATTTGAGAAAAATTAAGTTTTTGGGAAAATGTAAAAAAATTTTCTTTTTTTTTATTATTCACATTTAATTGTAGAAAATACAGAATCATTATTATTATGTAATAATAACAAAGAACAACAAATCACGTTACAATACGCGTGCTACATATAAACAAGAAGATTGTTCAGAGAATGTTATGCAGAAATTGGATTGAATTTATTTAAAATATCTAAAACTAAATCCTCTTAAGAAGCATTTGATTTAGTAAAGAATTAGCACAAAAGAAGAAAACAGGCTACTTAAAACAAAAGCATTTGAAACAAAAAATGGAATGAAAATTAAACATAAAAAGCTATGGCAGCCGCGGCTAAGCCAGTTTAGCCAGCTAAAACAGCCAATGTAATATGATCGACTTAAAGATCACATGATGAATTGAATATAATAACTTTATTCATAGCCAATAATTCAATGTGATTCTTTAAAATATTTTTAAATTTTATTAATTAATAAGAACTTCAAATTTTGACTGAAACATTTCTGAGAATCCAATTTGCAAAATGGATATCATTTTACTATTTGTATCTCAAACCTTTCGCTATTTGTATCCTCAAAATTGTTTACTGTTTTTTTAATTTTTAAAATTCTAAATCTATAGTCAGGTTTTCCATTTTTTCTTCAAGTTTATGAACGTGGGAGTTAATTGTTCCTCTTTGAGCTATTAATTCTTGCATAATTTGTTATATTTTACACTCTCGAGTTTAAAAGTTACAATGTTCGTTTTTTCTTCGGAATTTTGTAATTTAACTATAGCGACACTTGTTATTATTTATTTATCTGATTTTTCAAAAATATTTTTAAACTCATAGCGTGCAGTTATGTTTCCCCTAATTAAGATACTAGAGATAAATTCATTTTTATTTCTATATATATGAGGCAGACAGTTTTATATTTAGGCATTTTTAGTAAAGTTATTATATTGTATGAAAATTGAATCTTAGAGCTATAAGATTGTATGAAAAATTAATCTTGTATAGCAAAGAGTTTAATTTAAAAATATTACAGATGATAAAAAGGTCTCTTTATATATTTAAGATTGAACGGATATCTGGATTCTTCATTACTTATAATATAAAATATAAATAATAATGTTTCTTATATATTGGGATCGTCTAAAGAGTGGGACATATATAGCCCCACTATAAAAAAACCCATATGCACCGAAAACTGGAATTGAGAGTTTTTTATATTAGAATTATATAAATTGATATTATTTCTATAAAATATATAATTGGTATTTAACGAGTATATGAGTGTTATTAATTCCATAACATATCTGTTAATTATAAAAACCAGTTTTATAAATATATTATTATGGAAAAAATTATATTATAACTATACTTTTGTTACAGTATTAAGTCACATGATAACAAAAAATGAATTAACTTCAATTGTTCTTATGTTTTACGAAGATAATGGTGCCGAATTTATTATTAAAAAAATATATTTTTAATTTACGACTTTATAATATATAAAAAAATAAATTTGGTATACTTTGTTATTATTATTTATATTTCATTGCAACTAAAGATGCAGACATTAGAACATGAAATAATATACGGCATAGCCGTAACTGGGTAACTACCTAAATTTTATATGACGTAAGTGGGTAGTTACCCTTGACCTAAGAAATGTCTGCATCTCTAATTGCAATACAAAGAA